TAAGATCATCTTTTATTCTCGCATCCTCAAAAAGTGAAGCTATATCAGTTCCAGCGAGAGGTTTCTGGCCTCTACGCACACTCTCCTTTGCAAAGAGATCAACACAAAGCGCTGTTCGACAAATGCATGCTAAAGCATGCATACGATCTGATTCTGCCCTCAAGTTTCTCACCATAAGAAGCAGCCTCTTAAACAACGAAACCTACACCCAATTTTTTCCTCTTCTTAAAAATACAACTCATGTGAATTTAATTTAATTTATCATCCGTATTGACAAAGATAAAAGATTGATTTGCTATATACCTGCATATGAAGATCAAGAAGGTGAAGATTGGTAACCACAGCTCTAACAATACTCTCTCTTGCAGAAGCAAACTCTTGCCTATCCCAAAGTGTGAGAATTGCGATAATTGACTGTGAAGCCCACTCCGGCTTCCCACCAGGCACATCAGCCAAATACAACAAGTCGATCCCCACTTCGAAAATCAAAGCTGGATCCAATGACGACGCCAAGAATGGCACCAAATGCGTGACCACATCCGAAACTCCCACCAACCTCTCTGCATTGCTATCCGCATCAGTCCCACTGGAGCCCTTAGACGACTTCGACAGCTTCCTTATGACCTCGACCGAGCCTGAAGCCATGGCCTTGACCGCGTACACGATCGGAAACACAGTGGCCCTGAAACTCTCCACGGGCAAAACCAACGATCTCGCCATTAACGCACTCCGCTTCTTCCACACGAAGTCGACCATCGAGGAGACCCAATTGGATCGAATCGCGAGCGAATTCTCACTATCCACTAACTTATCACCCGCTAATCTGCTCATGCGCTTGGAATCGAACTCCTGAAACAAACGCCCCACCGACTCGAATGCCACCTTCGATACGGCGTCGGATGCGTCGAGCATGTTACCTCCGATGCGGGACCACCAGCTGGAGACCTTATCGAGCAAATTGACATTGTTCTCACAGAGCGTGACGAGGTCGTCGCGAGCAAGAATGCATCCGAGGGTTTCGGTTATGGAGAAGCGGAGATTATCGCTCGGAGAATCGAAGCAGCTGTTGATTTCTTTCTGGGCGTCAGTGATGAGCTTGGAGAGGCGGTAGGAGGGGATGGCGGCGAGGATTGAGACGGCTGCGGCGCTGACGTCAGGGTCGGGGAAGTCCAGATCGGTAAGAATTCCGACGCAGACGGTGTCCCAGAGGTCGGCGGTGAGGCGGGTGGAGCGAATGAGATCAAAGGCGAGTTTTTTGCAGACGGCGGAGGCCGGCGAGGCGACGATCTCTTCGACGGCAGACTTGGCGATGACGGAGATGTCACGGCCGGCGGCGGATTGCTGGAGGGCTTGGAGGAGAGCGCCGGACTGGCGGAGAGCGGCGTTGGGGCGGGGGTGCGGTTGGAGCTGAGCGAAGAGTATGTTGAGAAGCTGAGATCAACTTCGTTCGACGTGCTGACCTGTTTTAGGTTCGTTAGGATTTGAGAATTTGGGACATTGAGAGAGAGGAACTGAGAGTTTGGGCAGATTGCAGTAGAAATGCAGAATATGATTGCTTAGCTTTAGCTTTGCTTGTAGTGGTTTTAGTTTGAAGAAGAAAATGATGGTGGTAAAAATCATCAGGCTTCTTGGCGGTTCAGTTGGTTGGCACGGCCGGGTTGGGAACAACCGAGTTCATTGTCTGGCTGAGTTCATTTGAAAATTGGCCTTTGAAGGAAGATGTTGATTGTTGGAAGCCCAACCCAAACAGCTTGTGATATGGGCCTTAAGTTGGAGGTGAAGCCCCATTAACTTTTCTTAAATGTTTCCTCTAGGCCCTTCTTATTGGATCTTACTCGGATCCGGAATATGGACCTAGGTCGGGAATCACAAACCCGAGATTCGAGATCCATGATCCGAAGTTAGGACTCCAAACCTAGAACTCGGATGTGGGATGTTGTATTCGGATACAGAACCTCAAATGTAATATTATAAGCTAATCTAAACATGAATAATTATGAGCTAATACAGATCCATAACTCATATGTGGGATGTCGAATATGGATTATTATACAATCCAAACTTGCGCTATAAAGTTTTTTATTATTTAAAGTTCATGTTTTTTTTTCACGGGTCAAAGCACGAGAAAGACAAAACCCGTGAAACAGTGATGAACTAAAAATTCTCTTATTAGAAGAATCACCATGGTGGTGCTGACAATGGAAGAAATTGTGATGGGAATCCTCATAAAAACTATAGTTAGAAAGACATAGTTATTTAATACTCCATAAAGTCCCTTCTTGCAATTGTATGTCTACTAAGCGGCAATACATTATGAAACAGATGCAAAAGGGTACATAGCCCCAACTTTCTCGTTTCAAACTTCTTCTCCCAATAAAATACTACATACAAGTTACAATACAAACAAACCTTCATGGTATTTCAAAAGACAAACTTGGATTTAATGTTGTTGACGGCATCTTCATCAACTAGAAAGGTCTTGGTCAGCACTTCGACTGGGATCGAAGGGGCCGCAGCAAACAGATTCAGAGGAAGAACAGTGGAGCCAGGCAAGTGGCTGTTGAAAGCAGTGAAGGTAAGGGCCTTTTTTGGTCCAACATTCAGCTGAAAGTGAACAAGTCCTCTTGGAATCACAAACACTTGCCCGGCAGTCAAGACTTTAGAGTAGTACACATTTTTAGTCGTCACAATCCCTGCAAGAATCTTCCCTTCAATGACAATCCCAATCTCGCTCGCACGAGGGTGCGAGTGAGGCGGGTTAATCCCACCCGGCTCAATGTCAACTCTGTTCATAGCTATCCCCAGAGTGTTGAGCCCCGGGAACGAGAGGACGTTCCCGGTTGTCACAGTGACCCCAAAGGGGTCCGTGAAGTTAGCTTGCTTGCGCAGCCCGTCAAAGACGAAGTCATCTGAAGTAACCTCCGAGAGGGGCTTACAGGGGAAGTTGTTAGCTGATATGGAGGCACTCGAGTCCGCCACACACAAGTCTTGCAATGGATCAGGGTCCGCACAATGGGAGGGCAAGGGAAGAAGAAGCAGCAGCAATGAAACTGTGAGGCAGAACAATAGCAAGCTTGGTGATGAGGTGATCATAGCTTCAAAATACTACTTTCTTGTAGTTCAAGGTATAGATACACTCTGGTTCTACATATATATATATATATACATATAATATATGTATTTTAAAAACTAATTTTTTTTTCTACATTATTGGATTTGAGGCCACCATTAGAAGCGACCAACTAGTACTCAACAAAAGGAACATCAGCATCCATAGTACAGATTAGATAGATTTATATTGGAAAAAACTCGTAATCATTGGATATTGGATGACGCTAGTTGGATAAAAACCAAAGTTAACATCGTCAAAAATCTTGTTTATGTGGGAACATCTCTCAAGATTATTTGGGATCTAGGCCGGCTTTGAATTGAACCATTTGGAGCATAAGGCAATACTGAAAAAAAAAAATTGGGGCCATATGTCAAGTGGAAAAAAATAAAATAAAATATGGTCTTAACTTAACAAAAACAAAACACTAAACAACATTCAAGTAGAAATTTTGTAACTCCATCAAAGCATAACTATAAGTTTTCATATAAAATTTGGATTTTTTTTTAAAACAAGAAGGTTGGTTTTTTTAATTATTTTAAATATGGGTAGAGCTTTTTACTTGGATCTAGTAAACATCACATGATTTTATTTTTTTTTCTTTTTCCGTCTTTTGGTAAGTATTTGCATGGCTAATTCGTATGCTGGTTGTTCAAATAGTAATCTTAGGGCATATTTGGGAGTGCTTTTGAAAAGGCTAAAAGTGTTTTTTGACAACTAAAAGCGATTCTAACAACGTTTGGCAAAAAAATTTAGAAGCGCTTCTAAGTCATAGAAGCGCTTTCTGAAGAAGCACCTGCCATGTACTTCTTCAGAAAGCACTTAGATTTTTTATGAAAATGTAAGGTTTTTATAATAAAAGAGCTTTTGTTAAAAGCGCTTATGAGCAGAAGTACTTCATAGAGAAGCTCCCAAACGAGTCTTAATAGGTTACTATCTAAATGAAATTATAATAATCACGATGCTAGTCATACCACATTTGCATACTATCTATTAGAAAGGTGGAGCCTTACAATACATTGAGGCTCGCCTCTATTAGAGAGGTGGTACACACAGTAGTATATAAATGTTTTATGGCTAGCATTTTTGCTCATAAAATTTTATAGTTCGATAGAAAGGCATAATTCTTTGTTAATAATTCATTTGAGTCCCCTTGTTGCAATTGTATGTATGTCTAATAAGCTGCCATACAATACATAACATTATGAAACAGATGCAAAAGGAATGTTGCCAAAGAGAAATAACAATAAAGAGTATGCACATACGATACAGGACGTACGGCCCCAGCTTTATTTTTCAAACTTCGTCTACCCATACAACATTAACATTACTATATACATACAATCCAAACCTTCAAACAAAGCGAAACAAATCGAGAATTCCACTCATATTATTTTAAAAGACGAACTTGGATTTCATGGCGTTGATGGCATCTTCATCCACTAGATAGGTCTTGGTCAGCACTTCCATTGGGATTGAAGGGGCCGCAGCAAATAGACTTAGAGGAAGAACAGTGGAGCCAGGCAAGTGGCTGTTGAAAGCTGTGAAGAAAAAGGCCTTTGTTTGCCCAAGATTTAGCTCAAAGTGAACAAGTCCCCTTGGAACCGCAAACACTTGCCCCGCAGTCAGGACCTTACCGTAGTACACATTCTTAGTTGTCACAATGCCTGAAAGGATCTTCCCTTCAATGACAATCCCAATCTCACTCGCACGAGGGTGTGAGTGAGGCGGGTTAATCCCGCCCGGCCCAAAGTCAACTCTGTTCATGGATAACCCGAGAGTGTTGAGCCCTGGGAACGAAAGGACATTCCCGGTTGTCACGGCCACCCCAAAGAGGTTCGTGACATTACCTTGCTTGCTCAGCCCGTCGAAGACAAAGTCATCTGCAGTAACCTCTGAGGGGAGTTTGCAGGGGAAGTTGCTAGATGACGTGGAGGCAGTCAAGTTTGCCACACACAAGTCTAGTAAAGGATCAGGGTCTGCACAATGGGAGGGCAAGGGAAGAAGAAGAAGAAGCAATGAAACTGTGAGGCACAACAATATCAAGCTTGATGCTGATGAGGCGACCATAGCTTCAGAACACACTACTTTCTTGTAGTTCAAGCCAAGGTAAGGTACAGATAGACTCCGGTTCTACTACATATGTATATATATATATATATACATATTAAGACTTAATTTTTTATTTCTTCATTATTGGATTTCAGGCCACCATTTAGAAACTTACTTTTTTATTTCTTCATTATTGGATTTCAGGCCACCATTTAGAAACTTACTTTTTTATTTCTTCATTATTGGATTTCAGGCCACCATTTAGAAACTAAGTATGCACAAGCGACCAACATCAGCATCATCCACGGTGCACAACTGATAGATTTATATAGGAAAAAAACACTCCTAATTGGATATTGGGTGAGGCTGGTTGGCAAAACATCAAAGTAAACATCGTCAACAATCTTGTTAGTTTTCCAAACAGTTGAGACTAGTTGGCTATATGTTTATATGCTACCTCATTATTAAAGATATCCGTCTGATTAACAGGTACAATTATGAAGATTTAGAAAATGAAAGAACAGTAAATATATATCCACGAAAACCATTATTTGACTAAAATATTTTTAAAAATGATAATAATCAGTTTGTTTATATGCTAACTCATTATTAAATATATATATCTATATCCTTGTGATTCACCTGGTGGTCCAATTATGAAGATTATTTTGGTTATGCTATAGAGTATGTGGGGTTCATAACTTTACAATCAGTATGTGGGTGTTATCTAGTGCAGCAGTTCTGCATGAGTTGAAAGCAACTTCCTTACAATCAGTACGTAAAAACCAAGTAGAGGTCAGGTACCCTTAATTTGAGAGTTCAAATGGGACCTCTTCGACAGATGCATAAACTCATGGAATTAAAATAGTTTAGCAGAAAAGCAGAAGAAGAATACAGGAAAAGAACATCCTCATTCTGAAAACAATAACGTTGATGTACCAGAAGACCAGAACTTCGCGGATTCATTTGACGACGCTGGCCGAGCCCTGTATCTCAGGCAGACCAAGATTATTTCCTTTAACAGATCAAGGGGAAGCCAGAGTCCAACTCCATGAGGATCTGATCTACGACGAAAGCTTCTAGTTTTGTTATCAAGGCCTCATCCTGTATATGTTGTACGAATTTGATAACAAAAACAAAAAAAAACATATCTGAATCCAGAAAAGTGAAGAAAAATAAACTCATAATGAAAGATTTACTCAGTCATACCTGTCTAAAGCTGCTGGGCTGATGGGAATAACACCCGCCGGGGACACAAGCGCATCCACCAGAATGTCATGTGGAGTGACCGGTACACCTTCATCCAATATTTGTACAGAATAGGACAGTGCAACTGCAATAAAGCCACCAACCTTGATTAAAATACCAACACTACCACCATATTACCTAGAACACTGAGTACACTGACTTTCAGATCCGAGGCATATATGCTACAATACAAGGCGAAAGAAAAAATGATGCATACCAAGGAGTGGTTGCTTCCAATTGCGTGTTTTTGCAAGCTCTTGGTAGTTCTTCAGGAAGGTATCATAATAACTGTAGAAGTTACAATGCGTTAACATCAATTATGCATAAGATACTGAAGTTTGTTTTCTTCAAAACATACAAGGGAGAAAAAACCACGGCTCTAGCAGCCTTTATTTAAGGAGAGCAGTGATATCTCCAAACAACTGAATACATGGTACTTGAAAAACTGAATAAAAACTTTATAACCATACCCTCCACCACGACCCAAGCGTCTCCCAGATCTGTCAAATGCTAGTCCTGCCAGCATAAAAGGATAAGCAAATGCAGTTAACTACAGTTTGACTTTGATAATTATAACACATCCTGTAAATGGATGAGTATTAAGAAAATAGGAAGAAAAGTTCTACCCGGTAAGAGGAACAAATCAACTGGGTCGCTTGCCTGTAAAACTGCACCAAGAGAGACCCTTTAGATATAAGATTCAACATAATTACATCGGTAAACTCACATATATACAATATGAAACCCATCCTACATTCTTTTTGTCAGCATTAAAAAACAAGCGCCAAGGTGTCTATGAAGCCCACCCCTACATGAACATATGGACATCAAACAATATGATTCCAGGAATAAGGCTTATGTATATCAAGCTAAACAGCCTAGACAAGGTCTCGGTGAAGGGAGTACAAGAATTGTGCCATGAGTTTCGGAAAAACAAAGGCTATTCCTCTCCCTATCTTGTTACTTATAAATTACTTTGTTACAATTTCTGGCAACATTCTGATGCCCAAACCTGAGAATTATAATATTACAAATGGGTATTTTAAAGGAAAACTAGGCTTAGGAAACCCTGTTGAAAGCTGTACGAATGAGAAATTTTCCCATCCTAACCTGGTCTTACACAATTGCTTAGGCTTTAGATTGTGCCACCCATAAAGAGAAATGGAAGACACTACTTTGAGGCTTCAGCAGAAGCACTCTCAAAAGAACAAAAGTTTGGAAATTTGGAAATTTGACTACAAATCTTAGAATATGTTAATCCCATCTCAACTTTTGTAACCTCTAGTATTATGAAGTTCAAATTTTAATGCAAATACTCAAAAATTTCAACTTTGAGACTAGTTTTGGGACATCAAGAATCTGTAAATAATAGAGAATGACTACAATAAGAGACATTATTATCCCCTAAAATAAGTGAAACATTACCATCTTCCCGTTCATTTCCATCAGCATCGATTGGAGCTGGTTCTAAAATGTTCATCGAATTCGCAACAAGATCATCAATACATGAGATGTTGAGCATTCTCATGTGACAATTCTTGTCCTCTACACGCGGAACATAAAGCTTTTTCCTCACCTGCACATCACCCTCTTCATAAAACACAAAAAACATAAGAACCAAAAACAAATTTCTCAAAAATTCTGATTTCAGGCTACTAAAGCATGCTAAAAAAACTAAAATTTGGAGATGGGCACATGAAAATAACACCTTTGAGTGGACTTTGAAGAATTGCAGACAACACGTTGGAGGTATCAACTTCCCTCAAAGCACTGCAGCATATGTATGCACATAATCTTTGACTAGATCTAAACCACGGAGCTTCCAACACAATACTCTGGATTGCATTATCTAATCAAAAACAAAAAATTTGCAGACTTTGAGTTTTTGTTTAATTTACTCAAATGGAATTGACGCAGAGCATACTGGTTCAGTAAAGTGAAGAGTGGCTTGTTACCTTCATGGGATCTGAGTGTGGGGTCCATGGCCTTGAGGGCTTTGCGGACTTTGGACCGTAGGATCCGTTTCTGCTTGAATATGCCGTCGAGATTGTCCTGCTGTTGTTCTTGACTGTTGATGTTCATTGTGATTGTTCGAGTGGAAAGTGATGTTGGTGCGTATGAAGGTGGAGGGCGAAGGATAGCGGCGCGGGAGAGTTTGAGGGAAATTGCGGCTACGGCGGATGGTGGAGTTGCTAATGTGCACGATTGGGCCATCAGCGCCACCACCAACCTACCTGCCATGTGCGCGCGTCCTCTTTGTCAATTACTGTGTTTTATACCAGGGCCCTTGCAAAAGTTGGTTTTTATGTTCAACACCCATCATGTTTTCTGATTTTTTTTCTTCCCCAATTTGAATTTTCTCTTCTTACAACGAAATGTCTTATGTTATTTTTTCAAAATGAATACTACATCTTTATAGAGTTGTGCTAACGACAGCTGCTACACATTTTATTCTGACAAAAAAAAAAACACAAAGAAAATTTAAAGAGCTACAAAATGCACTTTAACATTCCTCACACTTTTAGAAAGATGTTGAACCAAATACAAAACAAGTCAAACCTTTCACAAACAAAGAACACAATCTTCCAACAAAACCAAAACTATAACTAATCAATCTTCAAAGCGTCTCAAAACCTAAACTTGGATCTAATGTTATCAACAACATCTTCACCCACTAGAAACGTCTTGGTCAACACACGGTCAGAGATCGAAGGCGTGGCAGAAAATAGATTCAAAGGAACTGTAGCAGAACCAGGCAAGTGACTGTTGAAAGCAGTAAACTCAAGGGCTTCACCTTCTCCAACATTGAGCTGAAAGTGAACAAGCCCTCTGGGAATCACAAAAACCTCCCCAGCAGTCAAAACCTTGGAGTGAAAAACATTCTTAGTCGTCACAAAACCAGTGAGGATCTTGCCTTCCATGACGACCCCAACCTCACTGGCTCGAGGGTGTGAGTGAGGTGGGACGATCCCACGTGGTGTAAACCCAACTCTGTTGAGTGATATGCCAAGAGTGTTGAGCCCAGGAAATGTGAGGACATTGCCAGCTGATACAGATACCCCAAAAACTTCGGTTTTGTTTCCTGGTTTGGTCAGGCCATCGAAGAAAAAGTCATCAGATGTGATCTCTGAGATGGGTTTGCAGGGAAAGTTATAATCGGCTGGTGTGGAGGCACTTAAATCTGCCACGCACAGGTCTTGTAATGGATCAGGGTCTGCAGAATGGAAGGAGGGCAAGGGATGAAGAAAGAGTACAGAGATTGTGAGGCAGAGTAATGGAAAGCTTGATGAGGTGATCATGGCTGCAAAAGACTTTACTTAATTCAGTTTCAAAACCAAGTAGTTTTAAGTCAAGTATATAGAAATCATATATGGTACCTATAAGTTAATTATATTTTTCTTTTGAATTATTGGATATGAGACAAGCATTTGAAACCAGACAAACAAAATCCAACCAGAATTAAACAAAATAAACATCAGCAACCATGGGGAAAGGAAAAAAAAAAGGGATTGAAAGTTTTATATTGGAAATTTGAAGATACTTAATTGGATGTTGGTTGTGTTGCTAGTTGGCTTATGACAAGGATGTTGTGAACTTGTGTGATATTGAGATAAAGACCGAAGTTAATATAATAGGGTTTATCTTTTTTATTTATTTTGGTTATGTTTCAAATAATTTACATGTTTTGGTCCGAAATGGACGTGGAAGATATTGGTCAATCGAGGCATTAAAAGGGAGAGATATTCGAACACATGACATAGAATGATGATAATTATTCTTAATCAGTTAAACTATAAACTATCAAAAGAAAACAATAAATAGATGAATACCTATACTCTTTTTTTTTTTTTTTTTGGGACCAATATGGATTTGGTTGTTTTCTGTTTTTACTTTCTTCTTTTTAATAAAAAGAATCAGCAATATTATCCAAGAAAACAACTATAGGTTTCTCCATGGTCAGCCAAATGTCAATGTGGCATTTTGGACTTATTTATTAAAATTGGTTTGTTTAGTGTCATTTTTTATTATAACAGTTTGTTTAGTATTTAAAACTAATTAAAATAGTGGTAGTTTGTGACTTTAATGGTAAAGAGTATTTAACTCACCCTCAAACTGAACGTTCAACGCTCAGTCTCCCAATGACCCATATCGTATTTTTAATCAGATATTATGAGAATAATTTGGTTTGTTGTGTTGAACTGCTAGTTTTTATAGTCAGGAGAGAGAGAGAGAGAGAGAGAGAGAGAGAGAGAGAGAGAATAACTAGTTTACTAATCCATTCGAGTATGGGAAGTAAAAAAGTCCATAGGCAATCCCAATTACCACTTCATTGGATGTGATCAAAACAAGATGGCAAGTACAAGGATCAACCTTGAGCTTGAGGTATCAGTTCTTTTTGTGGCTTGTAATTCAATTTTATTATTATTTTCATGTAACTTTAGTTGTTAGTGTAGGAAGAAAATTTGTTGCAAGCATCACATGCTAGTGTTACCTAAACAAGACACTGATCACATTGGTTCACAGACACAAGCACCATTGTGATTATAGAGGAGGATTTACAATTCTTCGGGACAAAATCAACTCATTGATTGATCATGGTATATTTTATATAGGCCTTCATATTAACTCATTGATTGAAAATTGAGTTTTTCGGTTCAATGGTTCTTGAATTTTTACATGATTCACATTTTGGTCCCCTAATTTTTAAAATTGTTCTCATGGTCTTTGAACTTTATTTTGTTAGGACAAACGATTATGCCATCAGTTTTGTTAACTTTTATGTTAAATTTGAGCATGTGCATGGCACATGATGTACTGTTGATGGTCAAAATCGGAAATTGCTTTACTCATGGGAGAAAGTTTTCCCTGTTACAGAGATTCCATAGTCAGCTTTTTTGCACCTATTTTCTCCTCTCTCTCCTCCATTCCTTTTCTCTCTTCAATCACTCCTCCTCCATCATCACCCACACACCTTAGATTCCTCTTTTCCTCTTCAATCACTCATCCTTCATTACCCGGACACTATCTTTATGCTTTTTATCATTTTTATTTTATTAAGTTATTTATTTACGGAATTTTGGAAATGGTGGAGTTTGAGAAAGATTTGGGTTGGCTTGGGTTTCTATGGAGGAACAATGTACAATTTGGGGGAGAAAAACTTTATTCGGCGTCACTCTCTCTCCTCCAAATATGAGGAATCTATTATATATATATTTTTTCCTTTCAAATTTTATTATGTATTGGGGAATTTTGGAAAATTTAGAAATAGTGTGTCTGAGAGAGACTGTATTGGGTTCGGTTTCTATTGAGGAGTGCGTTTTGGGGGAGAAAACTTTTCCCGCGTTACTCTCTCTCTCCTAAATATATGAGGAATCTATCTTCATATTGAGCTGTTTCATTATCACTTTTTCATCTTCAATTTAAATATATTAGGGGGAAAAAAAGGGGAGAAAATCAATAGGTGATGAAGGAGTGACTAAAGAGAGAGAGAGAGTAACATAGTTGCACAATTTTTATGAACTGAGAAACATAAATGTAGGAGAGGATGAATGCTGGAGAGTGAAGAGGAAGAAAATGGGTGCATAACCCTTAAAAATAATACAAAAATATCAATTTGCCTATATATTTAACAAAAAAGATAACAAACTTGACGACATGACTATTTGTCCTACCAAAAGTGAAGTTGAAGGACCATGAAAATGATTTTAAAAATAAAGGGACCAAAATACAAATCTGATCAAAATTTAAGGACCCTTAGACCTAAAACCCCCTAATAAAATACTAGCCCCTTGGCACATGAGTGTGCTCACGCATGTGCCAATTGGTTTTATTTTTTATTTTATTTTTAGAATTAAGTAAAGTTAACATGAGTAGTTATGTTATATAAAAGTAGAACTTATTATCTAATTTTGTTTTTATTTTTATTTTTATAAATATGAAAAAAAACGTGAATTTATCATATTATCTTTATTTAATTAATATTCAATTCTTAATGTTTGAATTAACCAAAGACATTTTCTTGTATTTTGAATGTTTCACCGTCTTCGGACTTTTGCTTTATATATAAATAAGAAAATTTAATTTGAAACTGACATAGCACGTCCAACTCATCAGCCACATAATAATAGTGGCCTTATTGATTTGGAAATTACATCGTCCATATGTTATAATTTGGGCCAGCTATTGGATACATCGACATGCCAATGCCACATGAATGTTTCCACATGATTGTCAAGTAAGGTAACTTAATAAATATGCAATCCTACAGCATATACGAACAATGTGCTCACCAGTTACCAGCAACAAAAAAATTGAGCTTCAGCACCCAATCCTAAATTCTCTCTCTTCTCAAACCCTAACCCTAATCTCCAGCATCTCGCCCCGATGAGATGACCTAGAATCAACTCCATTTCCGGCGAGTTCAGCTCAGACCGTGCCCCAATCAACGAGTAGCGAAGATAATTCACGACGATGCCACCGCACGCCGATCTGGACCGTCAGATTGAGCACTTGATGCAGTGCAAGCCTCTGCCGGAGCCAGAGGTGAAGACGCTGTGCGAGCAAGCGAGGGCGATTTTGGTTGAGGAATGGAATGTGCAACCGGTGAAGTGCCCCGTCACGGTTTGCGGAGACATCCATGGCCAGTTCCACGACCTCGTCGAGCTCTTTCGGATCGGCGGCAGCGCACCCGATACCAATTACCTCTTCATGGGCGACTATGTAGGTCAGTTTGGGCATTATCACTTGGCCTTGTTGTTGTTTAATTTAGTTAATTTGTTTTAGAGAAATTAGCAGTAGATTGATTTTTAGAAAATATGACATCTTTAGGAGCATGGACATGCCTTTTCGGTGGAAGTTTTCATTATTGGGTTGAAATGGGTAGGAAATTTTTTTTTTTTTGGTCGAAGAAATGGGTAGGAAGTAAGTTAATATGTAAATGTAACAAGGGGCAGGCCGATGCCTTTTTGTTCTTTACAAAGAGGAGATTTTAGCTGGTTATTTATGGAATTCAAGGACTTGGGCAGGTTCTGAGCTGTTGTAGTAGAACATGAGGTTCTTACATTTATTATTATGATAGTTGGTTATAAGCTAGAAATGAACATTAAGTTTTTCTCTAGGAACACCTACTTAGGGATGACTTTTATGTGTGCTCGTGTTGTTAGATTTGACTTGTGTTCGGTCTAAGGGATGGAGCAAAGTAGTCACATGTAATTTTCAACCACACTAGGCTTAATAAGGTCTCTTTAATTTCCCATGTCTAACCCTGCCATGACTTACATACATTTTTCCAACGCAAGCCTAGAAGTTAGTTCAGATGATTTGACCAAGCATGCCATCTTATCCATTGTTTTCACAATTTTTAGTTCATATCTCATTTCTTTGTATCTTTAAAGTTCGGATTTATTAAGTAGTGTCTTATCCGAGCAATGAGCATGCTATCGATCTTTGAAAGTTGATGAACAAGATTATTAGACATCTTTGTCTGTAAACCTGAAATTGAAAGCTATTTGATTCTCTGACTATGTAGTGGCAAGTAGGACACTACCTTCCTTTTAATGACAAAGATGATTTAATTTCACACAATTTTAGACTGTTCAATCGTTTTGTTTGACTGGAAAATGCTTATACAACTTTTTTCAGTAATTATCTTTTGTTCTTTCTTATCCAGATCGAGGATACTACTCAGTGGAGACTGTCACACTTCTAGTGGCCCTGAAAGTACGTTACAGAGATAGAATTACAATTCTTAGAGGAAATCATGAGAGTCGGCAAATAACTCAAGTGTAAGGCATTATTCCTTTAAAGTGTTTCCATCCCAAAAGTGAAACCTTACAAGTATTGATAGTGAAGACCAAGTCGTGGAACTCACCGTTGATCCGAAAGACTTCCCAACTAGTCGTGTAAAAGAAGCCATTTATATGTTGTAGACAGTTTTACCTTTATCTTTTTCATTATGTTGACAAATACTCCCAAGGAAGTTGCTAAATTTCATAGGAGTGATGACACACTAGGGTTCAAGTGTTTTAATTAGTCATTCTGAAATATCAAATCCTGATTTATATCAGTAATTTGTTGCCTTCTCAGGTATGGTTTCTATGATGAGTGTTTGAGGAAATATGGAAATGCTAATGTCTGGAAGCATTTCACTGACCTTTTTGATTATCTTCCGCTCACAGCCTTGATCGAGAGTCAGGTTTGAATTTTATAGATATTATCTTACCCTGTTATCCCCATTATTCTCTTTTAACAAGCATTTTCCCCTTCTTTTAGATCTTTTGCTTGCATGGTGGACTCTCCCCCTCTTTAGATACTTTAGACAACATTCGTGC